TGCAGGCAGTTCATGGTCGAGAGGCACGGCAGGTGTGTCGCCAGCGTGTTACAGGGTGCCGTGGTTGAGCATTGATTCAAGCCCTGTGCCATTGGGCCCGGCAACGGGGCCATTTTGTACCCGCCCGCTCCCATGCATGCAGTCAAGCAAGCGTGTGAGGCTGTGAGCGCCTGTTGCAATTGTGCCACGTGCTTGGTGGCGGTGGTCAAGTCAACCCGCTTTGGAGAGCATGCAACAAAAAAGGGCCTGAGCTGCGGCGTTGGCGCGCTCACTTTACGGCGAGTTGCGCCAGTGGGCCGCATAGCATGTTCCAAGCGCGAGTCGGCCTGTGGGGCGGGCTGCACTACGAGATGATGTACCACCATCCCGCGCGTCGGATGCGCCTTCACCCCACCACGCGTCAACCTTGAAATATACTGGCCGAGGTGACGCCCGCCAAATTCAAGTCTGTGCAGGAGGCCGCATTCTGCCGGGCCGTGCCCTCTGAGCACAGCGGATATAGCTGTCATGCAATCCCCTCCATCCGTCCAGCACCTGGCTGGCAGCGAGCGCGTCTGCGCCGGGGACCATGTACTGCTGCGACGCTGGGAAAAACGAGTGAATAATCAACGGAGGCTTCGCGAACGTGGGTTCGAAGCACTCCAGACGATCAGATCGGACGCTGTCACAGTGGGCCCGCCCTACCGTCGTCATAATGCATGCTCGCTGGCATGATACAACTCCGTGTGGGACGCCAAGAGGAGGCCGTACCGTGCTAGACCAATGGCGCGCGGCCACACCGGTGCCCGCGCCTCTGGAAACCGACAGCACAGTTGCACACGAACCATGCAGGAAGGGCAGCTTGCACTGCCTTTTCATACGTGCAGTATCATGTGTCCGAGCAGCAGCTGCTCTATGGCGATAAACCAGTGTTGCGGGCTCTTGCAGCACGCACACCGGCACACGCATGCCTCATCTCAAGTGTGCGTGCGTGGACACATCTGTCCAGCCTGTTCAAGGTGCTTCTGTTGCTGACTGCTCGGATGCTGGCTCGCATGGCTGGCGGCAGTATGGCCCCTCGGTCCCCCTGCCGTGAATGAATGCATGCATCGCAACCTATATGGCCAACAGTAGCTTCCCTCACTGCCCCGTGTATGCAATTGCGCCTTGCATGTGGCTGGGCAGAGTGCACACCCCCTACGGGCAAAGCATAATCGCCGTGAACTTGGCTGTGCGCACAGCTTTATTGAAGCTAGCTGCAAGCACTGGCTGATTTTATGCCAGGTGCGCATGGGCGAACAATAACTCGCCGCACTGTATTCACGACACACTTGTCGCACACTCGCCGCACTGCATTTGGTCTCGTTGCGCGCCACTTTGACTAGCCCGCCGGTGTGAGTGCTCTCGCAGCTGCCCCACGGCGCTGTTCCCACCGACACTCGAGTTGACTGCCGTCGAGCTGTCATGAGAGGCGTGTGCAACTGTGCGGCTTTGCTTGTAGCTCATTGTCACCCGCCGAGCAACGAAACGCACTGTCACTTCTTACAGTCACACTCGACAGCCCGTTGGACTAAATCGGTCTGGCCCTATTTGCAGCTTAGAACCAGCTCTGCTTCAACCTGCGCATAGTGCCCTTTCACGATGCTCGCAGCCCTCCAGACCAGCAGTGCTAGGCTCAGCGCCACGCAGCAGCGCAGGGCAGGCCGCGTCGAGAGCTGTCCATCATGGAAGGGGATCATGTTATCTCAGATTTCCTACATGAGGCTGCCCAGGCGCGATCAGGCGCCTGGAACCGGGGTAGCTCCTGACAAGCGATCTCAGCGCTGGGAGGTGGCTGCGTCTGCGGCCGGCAGCCAGTTTGAGGACGAAACAACCGGCATCAGCGCCTGGGCGGGGCAGACGGCCTCGCAGATCGACGCGTTCTACCGCTTCTCGCGGTGTGTGACGTCGGCGGCGTCGGCGGGCTCGCAAACGCCATGTGCTTGTCCTTGATGCCACAACTTTGCGTCATCATGTGTCAATATCCTTCATGCACCGCTGTGCGCTTACTGAGATGCTTTGATGCGGCGTGCAAGCTGCAGCATGCAATTGCAGTTTGAATACAACCCGACCTGGGCGTCATTCCCCGGGGCTCACTCAATGGTTGCTCGCACCGTGCGGGCCTCGTCTCTGCCCCGCAGGCCCCACACCATGTTCGGCACCACAGTGAGCATCATCAGCATTTCCTGCCTGGCGGTCAGCGGCTGGGGCTGGACGCCCGCTGCAGTGACGGCGCTGTCGCAGGCAGTGTCCGCGGCGCTGCTCATGAATGTGAGCATCGTGGGGATCAACCAGCTGTACGACATAGATATTGACAAGGTGAGCGGGGTTCGGGTGGAGGGCAGGGATGCCGCATGGTGGGCGGAGGGCTGCTGTGGTGCTTGGAGGTGGGTGCAGGCCCTGAGTGCTGTGCGCATTCGCCAACGCAGGGAGCATGCGGGCTGCGTCTTGTGACTTGCATATCGTCTCCTGCGAGTGGGGCAGCTTGGCTTTGCAGGCATGGGCTGGCATTGTACATGTATCCCAGGGCAGCCGTTGCCTGGTCTCGCAGCCGATCGCTGCCCGCGATCACCCACCTGCCAGGCATGGCTACGTAGTCCCGCCCGCATTCCCACCCTCCCAGTACAGACACATGCGTGCGCACGCGCTCACACGCTCACACACACACACACACACACACACACACACACACACATGTTCATACGCACTCACAAGCATGCGCGCGCACAACCGCACATGCGTGTTCGCACACATAACAGGTCAACAAGCCGTATCTGCCCTTGGCCAGTGGCGAGTGGACCCCCACCACCGGCGCCGCAGTCGTCGCCGCCTGCACCGCCGGCGCGCTCGCGATCGGCGTGCTCGCCGGCAGCGCGCCGCTCATGTGGACGCTGGGTGCGTCCCTGGCGCTCGGCGTGCTGTACTCCGCCGAGCTACCCTTCATGCGGTGGAAGCGCTCCCCGCTGCTAGCTGCAGGCTGCATCCTCGCGGTGCGCGCGGTCTTTGTGCAGCTGGGCTTCTTCACGCACATGCGCGCCGCGATCGGCGCGCCGGCGCTCGCGCTGTCGCGTCCCCTGGGCTTCATCACGGTGTTCATGCTGGTCTTCTCCGTCGTCATCGCGCTGTTCAAGGACATCCCGGACGTGAAGGGCGACCGCCAGGCCGGCCTGCAGACGCTCAGCGTGAGGTTCGGCGAGAAGCGCGTGTTCTGGGCGTGCGTCGGGCTGCTCCTGTCCCTGTACGCCGGCGGCGTCGCGTTTGGCCTCACCGCGCCGCCGCCGCCGGTCGGCGCGCCGGCGTGGCAGGGGCCCGTCAGCAAGGTCGTGGTCGCGGCGGGCCACGCGGCGTTTGGCGGGCTGCTGCTGAAGCGGGCGCGGGAGGTGGACACCAGCCAGCACGGCAACATCACAAGCTTCTACATGTTCATCTGGGCGCTGCTCTACTCCGAATACATCCTGGTGCCGTTCATGGCTTGAGCGCCTGGGAGCAGCCCGCAAGTTGCCTTGCCGATGACACAAGATTCAAGGGGGCGGCGCCAGCGGGCGCCAACCAATGGCCGGAGGCGATCTGGCTCAATTAGGGGGGCGTGGGGCGTGCTCTTCGACTGCCGCAGCGTTTAAGGGCGCCCCGTGTCAGAGATTTGATCGGAGCGTCTGTGCGGGAGCCGCGGGCAAGGCTGAGGGCAAACCCTTAGTCACGCGCTGGTGTATAGGGCGTGTGCCATAACTGCAAAACGGCTCGAGGGACCAGCATTCTGGTGCTGCGCGAGCATCAAGCATGCAGCCCTGTTTGTTTTGTGGTAGGCACGTCCGGGAGTCGTATCCTCGTTCCTGTGAACCGCATCGGCCATATGGCGCGCCGGTCGCGCATGTGCACGGTCATGCCCTCACGGTGCGCGCCCTTCCATGGCAGCCTTTGATTTGCGTTTCTGCCGTCCTGCGGCTGAGGCGCCCCTGGAGAAACAGATGTGGCCCGCCGCTTGGTGGCGTGGTGTCAGTGAGATTGTGATTCAGCCGCCCTTTTTTCCCCAGGCCACTGGCTGGGGCTGACGGCGCGCCGCACATGGTGCACGTCTGCCGTCTGTTTCTTGCCCTTCCTAGCGCCAACGCTCTCCTCATCCCCACGTGCGCCTGCAAGCTTGCAAAGCGTCCCCCAACTCCACCTTCTTTCCGGCTTCCTTTTCATGCTGCAAGGCCTACCATACTAGTGCACGCAGAGCAGTCGTGCTTGATGCCACAGCGCTCTTTGATAGGGCTGTTATTACGGGCATCGCCATATGCGCGTGTGAATAGAGCCGAGCAGGCGACCACTCCGTTCTTGCAACCCGAATCCGCCCCAGGCTCCTGTCGGTGACTCTGTGTAATTGCTCACACTTTTCATTCACCAACAGAGTGTCAGGGGCTGTCAGAAGCGGCGGTCCAAGCTCGGCGCAGAACTCAGCCCCAATGCGCCGTTGCGCGGGTGCAGTGGCGACTGGTGGCGACGCGGCGGCTGTAGCAGTGATACCAGGTGTTTCTAGCTTGGACTGTGCCTGCCCTCTTGAGCCAGCCACCGACTCGTCACGTCCGGTATGTGACAAATAGTTTGTTTTTGCCTAATTCTTCATTGCTGTGCTGCTCGAGCTTGCCATCAACCAAAGCAGGGCCCATCAGATCATATTGTGACACTCGGGACAATGGCGAGCCTCTCCTGCCACACCGCTGGTCTCAGTGGAGCCACCTCAATCCGTGGTTTCTATAACAGAGCGATTGTGGTCCCCAGGCCCGCCACTAGGCCGGTACGCTCGGCTGGTGTTGATCTGAGGGCCGTGAGGCGCAGGCCAATTAGCCATTGCGCCGTATTTGTTACTTTTATCATATTTCAGCATCCATACACGTGTTGGCGGCGGCTTCCGGCATCTGCGGCAGCCCCAGCTCTGCCACCTAGGCAGTTCATGCTGCCGTCGGCACCCATCCACTCCGACCTACAAACCTGTGGCCTGCGGCCCCTCCACGCAGATCCAAGCGCGCGGTGTGGCCGCCAGGGTTGCATCTCCTATCAAGGAAGAGTGGAATCTCACCCAGTTCTCCGGTGAGCTGGGCAGCGGAAGGGGCAGCAGCCGCAGCGCCGCCCAGGCCCCAGTGCGCGCAGTCGTAGGGTGCCTCCCCTCGGGAGCTGCTGCCGGCCGCACGAAGCACACACGGCGACAGTCCTAGTCGGGCTGGCAGCCTCCACATGGACCCGCTACTTGGGCCCCTGGCGCCTGGCAGCGGTGCAGCTCTTGCAGCCCCTGGCCTCCTCGAGACCAGCCGCCCGCTCCTGCACCACCCAAGTGCTGACCCCTCTATGATTCCCGCCTTCCAACTCCTGGCCACCTGTTATAAACACCCGCCAGCCGAGGAGGTGAACCGCAGTGACCTGCCCCAGCTCATCACGTGCGAGTCTGTCCGCGCGCTCGAGGTGCGCACGCCACGCGGCACGCCCCTCTGCAGGGCCGCTGCCCTCCCGCTTGCCAGCCGCGCGGGCGGCCGTCGCGCTGCCCTTGCGAGCACGCTGGGGCCGCTCCTTCGCTGCTCTGGCGTGGCCCACGTCGACAGCGCCACGACCCACAGCCCCCCGCCCGTGATCGCTCTGTGCCCTCGCTGCGCGCCGCTGGGCCAGTGCCCGGCGCTGCGACCCGGCGGGGCCGGCGGCCCTTTTTCGCCGGCATCCGCCTCTGCGCCCCGCAGTATGGCGCTGCGCCCGCTTTGTCCCTCGCCTTCCGCACAAACCGCGCCGCCGTTGACCGTCCTGCCGCCGCCTGCAAACAATTTCACAGGCCGAGCTGGATGGTGGCGAGGCCGTCAAGGCGCTGCGCCGCTTCAATGACAACCTGCGGGCCCTCACCGCAGACAGCTGGGGTGCGCCCGGACGGCGCGGCGCTTGGCCCGCGCCGCCGCTCCTCTCCGCGCCGCCGGCCTGCCGACGGCTCTGGCACACATGCACGCGCGCACGCCTTGCAGCCCTTTACTCCTGTCCTGCCTCCCCGCCTGCCCCCGCCTGAACTCATGCTCTCGTGCACCGCTGCATCCCTTCGCACACATGCACGCTCACCCGCGCTCACGCATGATGCCAACACGTGTCACTCTGTACACGACACACGCGACACGCCACCCACACCCCGGCCATCCGCACGTCCCCACTGTCTCCCTGTGCTTGGTCCCCCCCCCAGAGCCCGCCCTGCGCCCCGTGTTCAACGAGCTGTGCTTCAACCTGGAGTCCTTCAACCCGGCGTTTGCCGCGTGCGTGCTGATGGTGCAGAAGACCATCGGCGTGAGCGACTACGTGCGGCGCGACATGGCCCTCAAGAACCTCATCCAGCCCCTGGCCGGAGAGTGAGTGGGCCGCCTTGACCATGATCACATGATCGCATGTGTGTGTGCGGGTGTGCATGTGCGTATGTGTGCGCGCACACGTGTGTGTGTGTATGTGTGTGTATGTGCGTATTTGTGTGTCCGTTCACACCCAGCACGCTGTTTCAACATCCAGATCCTGGACACGCATCCCTGTCCCCCGCTTCCATGACCTGCTTCACCCCCCTTCCCGGTCAGCTTGAACC